TCAGTGTTGATATTTAAGTGCCATTCTTCACAGTATTTTTCTAATTTGTCCAATTTGGTTTGCATTTCATCTTTTGAGGATGCGATAATTACTAAGTCATCAGCAAAAAGGAGGCTTCCAATTCGCTTATTATTTAATAATGGGTCTGTTTTGAGATCTAATGTTTTAATAATGTCATTTATATATATATTAATAGAAGAGGACTTAGGGGGTCCCCCTGTTTTATTCCCTTGTTACAGTCAAATTCATTGGTAAATAAACCCTCATTATCTAGTCTGACTCTTGCTTTTGATTGTGAATATATATGTTTTATCATTTTATAGAATAAACCGTTTACACCCGATTGCAAAAGTTTCAAAAATAATCCATCATGCCATACCGTATCGAAAGCTTTCCTCAAATCAACAAAACACATATATATATTCCCTTTTTGACTTAGTACATATTTATCCACGAGGGTTCGTATTATGAACATGTGGTCAGTTGTTCGTGCTTTCTTTGTGAAACCGGCTTGATTTTCCGATATTATTTTTCTGTCATGTACAAAGGCGTAAAGTCTATTATACAAAATTATTGAAAATAATTTGCCAAAGCAATCAGAAATAAAAATACCTCTGTAATTTCCAGGGTCTTTCGTCGTTCCTTTCTTAAATAAGGTAACGATTGATGAAATATTCCATTTTTCAGGGAAAACTGTTTTGCTCAGTAATATGTTAAACATTTTACAGATAACATTATTTAAAACTGAGTATGACGCTTTAATCATTTCATAGCTAATGCCGTTAAAACCCGAACTCTTGTTGTTCTTTAATTGCTTAACTGCCTTGTAAACCTCGTTTTCTGTTATTCTGAAGCTAAGTTCGTCAAAATGATTGTCGTTTTCTATTGATTTAACAATTTCGTTGACTTTTTTGTTGTTTTCGGTATTTTTATCCTTTTCAAATAATTTGGAAAAATGTTCATGCCATTTCTCTGGTGTTATATACGCGGACTTATTGTTTCCGTCTTTTTGCCTTAGTTGCTTAAGTAGGGACCAATATTCTTTAGGGTCATTGTCATAAAGTTCTTCTAATTTATTTATCATATTAGTTTTAAATTTCCTCTGTTTTATCTTACAGCATTTCCTATATTCCTTTAGCAACTTGAAGTAATTACTTGAATTTTTATACATGTGATATTCTACGTTTTATGTCACTACCAAAAAGTGACATATAATTATGGTCTCCATTTTTTGTGACAGTGGTTTATGATCAGCGGTAGTTGCCATCTGTAACAAATGGTAGTGACATTTTGTGTGTTAATGTCTTGTTTACTATAACTTGAAAAGTAGTAAATTTATTTTGTTCATATTTGGTATGTTGATACAACTGTACTCATAAGCATGTCACAATATCTCATGGCCATTTTGCAAAAATCGTAGCCATTTTATGTGTGTTATTTTACATTTTTTTGCTACAGCTTGAAATTTAGTTGAGGGATATTGTCATGGTCACGGCTGTTCTATGGTGTTTGCTATGCTTTGGCATTATCTATTTTTTCTCTTGCATTTCAGGTATAAAACATGGTACATTCATACCAAACACTCCGATATTTGCTTCCTTAATTACAAGATGAGCAACCTTTTTACACATTTTGTATCAAAGTCTGTTGGTTGTTCAAGTTTCTTGTTGTTTTAAATTTTTACCAGAGTAAGAAACTGGGCCCCTTTATCTGTACACGAGTGTATCAGATTAGCCTCTTACCTTTATGAAGTTTGAGTGGTGGGAATGTTTAGCCTCATTTAAATACATTAGAATTAAGAAATAGATATCGAAGAGCAGGTGTTATATCGCCGAATACATATCTTACAGCTAGGCACAAAAGCGTTCAAACACTTCACTCCCTTTGGTCATTCGAGTATTGAAAACGTTTGTGACGAGCCTTGCGTTATGTATTCGTCGATATAACACCTGCTCTTCGATATTTATTATCCCATCGAACGAAGTTTACGTGTGTTATTTACGTGTGTTATTTTTTACTATAAGTCAAAAAGTAGTGGAGCGATTTTGTTCATATAATATTTGGTATGTGAATACTTTAAGCATGGCCCAATGTCTAATGACATTTTGGGTAGTAGGCGGCCATATTAAAAAATGGCTGCCATTTTTACGTGTGTTATTTTACATTTTTATCCCATCGAACTTCCGTCCGTCCGGGCAATAACTCAAATACCGTTGGCCCGATTTTGTTCATATTTTGTACACATATACCCTATGGGGGTAGAAGTTCTGCTTGAAAGCCGATTTTCAAAATGGCGGCTCATTTCAAAATGGCCGCTCATTTCAAAATGGTGGCCATTTTAGTGCCGATTTTACAGTAATTTAGGTGCAATATGTAAAACTGTAATAGCAATATGTTTTAAATGTTAAAAATAATAAAGGACATTAATAAAGCTACAATTTAGATATTAAAAAAGCACATTGCAGCCATCTTGAAAAATGGCGGCCTTTACTCGTTATTTTACGATTTTTGCTGTTACTCGAAAAGTATATAGTGGAGCGATTTTTTCATATTTGGTATGTGAATACTATAAACATTGCACACTGTCTAAAGACACTTTTGGTAGAAGGTGGCCATTTTGAAAAATGGCCGCCATTTAAACGTATTTTACTATAACTCGAAAAGTAGTGGAGTGATTTTGTTCATATTTGGTATGTGAATACTATAAGCATGGCACAATGTCCTATGACACTTTCGGTAGAAGGTGGCCATTTTGAAAAAAAATTTGAAAAATGGCCGTCACTTTAACATATTTTACTATAACTCGAAAAGTAGTGGAGCGATTTTGTTCATATTTGATATGTGAATACTCTAAGCATGGAACATTTTCTAATAAAACTTTGGGGAGTAGTTGGCCATTTTGAAAATTTTTTTATGTGTGTTATTTTACAAGTACATGTGTGCGATTTTTTTCAAAAATTTTATAGGTGGCTACTTAAAAGCATATTATTTCTTCTGATGTCAACTTGGCTAGTGAGCAACCATTTTGAAAATGGTGGCCTTTCTGGTGTGTTGTTTTATGATATTTGCTATATATTTCGTTTGTAAAAATGCCAGCCATTTCTGTTCGATGGCATTCGCTACGCTTTGGCGTTGCCGTTGTTCTGGTTTACTATAACTCAAAAAGTAGTAGAGCGATTTTGTTCATATTTTATATGTGAATACTATAAGCATGGCACACTGTCTAGTGACACTTTGGGTAGTAGGCGGACATTTTGAAAAATGGCCACCATTTTTACGTTGAAACTTGAAAAGTAGTGGAGTAATTTTGTTCATATTTGATATGTGAATACTTATGAGCCTAGCACACTGTCTCATGACACTTCGCGTAGTAGATGGCCATTTTAAAAAATGGCTGTCATTTTTAAATTTTTTACTATAACTCAAAAAAAAATTTTTTTTATTATTATTCAAAGAGTAATAGAGCGATTTTGTTCATATTTGATATGTGAATACTCTTAAGGATTGCATACTGTTTTATGACATTTTGGGTAGTAGGCACAGTACGAGCAAATACGGGGATCAAAAATTACGATTCATTACAGGGCTTGTTACCGTACGGGGGTCGAAAATTACGAGCAATTACGGGCCTTGTAATCACAAGCTCTTACGAGGCACGAAAATTACAAGCAATTACAAGACTCGTAACGAGGCTCGTACGAAGTCGTACGGGGTCCATTGACACAACGAGCTCCATACGGACTTGTACGGGGTCCAATGTAATTTGCCTGTGTAGTGAGCAACCATTTTGAAAATGGTGGCCTTTCTTATGGGTGTTATTTTACGATATTTGCTATATATTTTGTTTGTAAAATGCCAGCCATTTCTGTTCGATGGGATTCGCTACGCTTTGGCGTTGCCGTTGTTCTGGTTTATTTAGTATTTACATGTACTTCATGGCATTTGAAAAATATAAAATATACTATTTGAAATATCCTATTGCATATTTCATCATATCATCTTATTTTCATGGATGTAGTTTTTGCCTCAAGTGGACATCGCTACTGTCTTGTTATTATTTCCAGCATTCATCACGAGTAATTTGATAAAAATATGTTTTATAATTTAAGATGGGATTTCCTACTCCTACTCATTTCAAGAAAATTCGTCAGATTTTCTCAAAATTCGCACACATGATAGAGTATACCAAGTTCTAGAGCTGATTAACTTTTGGGCGGCCATCTTATTTTCTGGTGGCCATTTTGAAGGTTTTTCGATAAATCTTGTCTTAGCCATTTCAGGAAAACCACTTGTCAGATTGTCTCCAAATTCACACGCATGATAGAGGATATCAATTTCTAGAGCTGATCAACTTTTGGGTTGCCATCTTGTTTTCTGGCGGCCATTTGGACAGTTTTTCATAAAATCTTGTCATCACCATTTCAGGAAAAAACACTCATTGGATTGTCTCCAGATTCGCACACATCATAAAGGATATCAAATTCTAAAGCTGATTAACTTTTGGGCAACCATCTTGTTTTCTGGTAGCCATTTTGAAGGTTTTTTGTAAATCTTGTCATCCCATTTCAGGAAAACCACTAGTCAGATTATTTCCAAATTTCCAGACATGATAGAGGATATCAAGTTCTAGACCTGATTTTGGGCAGCCATCTTTTTTTTCTTGCGGCCATTTTGAAGGTTTTTTGATGGTGTGATCTTGTTCACGTCATGTGCCTTGTTCTACTTTTCTCGTTCTATTGTAACTTTTTGGTTTATACTAGTATGTGTTATAAGATAGGCTATGTATGGGAAGTTTTATTTGCTCAAAACAACATTTTAAAATACAATCTTTCCAGTTCAAGAAACTGCAAGCACTGCATCTTTGGTACACAAAGATGCGAGGTTAGACTCCCATATCTCCAATTTTAAAGAAAAATTGTAAATTAAACAGATAAATTATAGAACAATTTTAACATTGATAAAGGTAAAATATGAAGTGAAGACAATAAAAAATACACAAGTAGCTTTACAGATAGATTTATTCCTGTTTACTGCTACAAAGTTTATCATGGCAATTTTTATAGAATTTATGTTTTTTCATACGATAATCCAAATTTCGAAGATAAGTTGTATCACTCCCATAGTTTTTGCAGTCATCACAAGTTTTCACCTTCTCATTATCCACTCCCCAGTTACCTTCAAAATCGCTCTCAATCTCCTCGCTAGATTCTGCAGCATTTAGCTTTTTTCTTGCAGATACCAAACATAATACAACCAACAACACAAACATAGAAGCATACATCTTGTTCATCTGAAAAAGAATAGCACATATTATACATCTGTAATACAATAGTACACATTGTACAACCAACAACACAAACATAGAAGCATACATTTTGTTCATCTGAAAAAGAATAGCACATATTATACATCTGTAATACAATAGTACACATTGTACAACCAACAACACAAACATAGAAGCATACATCTTGTTCATCTGAAAAAGAATAGCACATATTATACATCTGTAATACAATAGTACACATTGTACAACCAACAGCACAAACATAGAAGCATACATCTTGTTCATCTGAAAAAGAATAGCACATATTATACATCTGTAATACAATAGTACACATTGTACAACCAACAACACAAACATAGAAGCATACATTTTGTTCATCTGAAAAAGAATAGCACATATTATACATCTGTAATACAATAGTACACATTGTACAACCAACAACACAAACATAGAAGCACACATTTTGTTCATTTCAAAAAGAATAGCACATATTATACATCTGTTATACTATAGTACACATTGTACAACCAACAACACAAACATAGAAGCATACATCTTGCTCATCTGGAAAAGAATAGCACATCACTCCAAGCAATTTTTTTTTTTACTTCTTCAATGTTGAACATTTACTTAAAGCTAATAATTCGTATTAATACTTAATAATTAAATTGATTCGAATTTGTCACCAGATCTAGTAAAAACTAGTAAAACCTCACGAGGAGGTGCAAAATATCGTAGTATTTCAATATATTTCAATTACTCATCTGATATTACTTAATCCAAGTAAACCATTGAACTGAAACAAGTAATCCCTTACAGTAAATCTAGCAAACTGACCATATTAAGGTGCGGTGGTAGTTAACAGGAAATGACAAAACAAAAAATGACAAAATCATGCTTAATTTTCAAAGTTTTTTGAACCAAGATAACAAAGTTCTGTTTTGACCTCCAGTCAGTTTAACTAGTTCCACATATCATTTACATGCCATTTACATGACCGGGAACACAATGGAAATGGTCAAAATAACCCTAAACATGATGAAATAACCTTTTCAGCCCTCTGAAAATGTGATTGAAACAAAATAGCTAAAAGTAGGTGCTAAGGAATGGTCACTGAACAGAATCTCTTGATTTTTTTAAGAAAGTGTGCCTAATATATTTGCTCTAAATGATATAATTGTAGAAAATTTTATATCATTCTTAGAAAAAGAAAAAAAAGAAAAAAAAACTGAATTGAAAATCAATCTATTTTCCTTTTTAGTACAGCCATTATTGTTTCAGACAATATTTTTAAATTTCAAAGCCCATCCCAAGGTTGATGGGCTGAGTCCCATTGACCCCCCCCCTGTCCCTAAATCTGCTAGTGAATAGTACATGAGTTTCCTGGAGCAGTCTATCTGCCAGGTTCATGTAACTTATAGCATTTTGATTCCCTAAATCAATCATTTCAAAGTACAGTATTTACAGAAAAAGATGTTTTGAGTTACTTGTTGTTTTGAATTGTTTATGAAAGTTGGGGACTTGGTTCCATGTGTATATTAAATTATGAAGAATAGCCTCTTACCTTTATGAATTTTGAGTGGTGAGAATACTTTAGCTTTAGATTAGGCCTCTCGACAGTGTAATTTAGTCTCTCAGGTACACGCTTATTTGTACTCCTCTGAAATTATGAGTTTTCAGCAAGGATTTACTCTTATTTACTCAAATTATAAACAATTGCCTCCACTCCACTTGTTATGGAAATTGAAAACTATAAACAGTGTCACGTGGGTGAGGCTTATCATCCGTGGCCCAAGAGTAATTCATTGCATTACATTTAATATAAATGTTATGATTGACATTTGAGGATTTAATCCTTGGACTTAGTGCATTGTGTGCTGAGGCATTCCATGAAGATGTTGTTTCCAAATCTTTGCATGACCGTGCAGCGGGAATGGAAAATTTAGGAAACAACATCTGAGTGGAATGATGCAGCCACAATGCATCGAGTCTTGGGCTTAAATTCTTTTCACAGATTGCAAAATATTTTCTACAAAATCATCTTATATGAACAAAATCACTAAAAGAACACATTTTCAATGATTTTTTTGCAATCTGTGAAAAGAATTCAAGCACAAGTCAAGTCAAATTGGCAAGTCATCAAATTCGATGTGAAAAGTCCATTCATCACCATGACAACTGTTTAACTAGTGACCTTGAGTGTTTTATTGGTTATTTCACACCCTGCTCTATATGTGAGATACTTTGTTCTGATCGGCTGGAATCAGACACACCTCGCCTAGCTATGGTATGAATAATATATCAATGTTGCTGCTTAGCAGACCACATGTTTAAATCCAGTGAAATGGTCCAAACTGCTGAGAAATATCAAATTTAGAATGTCAAAAGAATTCCATAGGATTGTCCTATCTTGTGATGTAGTCTTCATCTGACATTTAAAAAAAATTTTTTTTATTTATTCATGTTATATAATTATGATCAAGTATTACATTTACACACTTTTGGGTAAAGGTTTTGCTATGTCCAAATTTAGGTAGCACACTGCTCCATAACTCGAAAGTGAACATATATTGACCATTTTTGATGTTCTTTATATAAATGCTATAAACTATACTTTAGACTAAAAGAAAGCCTTACCTGGATGATTTGAGATTCTTGGGTTCTGAATGAGAATTTTGTGACAATTTATACTATTTGTAAATAGGAGTGTTTACTAAACAAATTGCAAAACTAATAACCAATGTACCATTGTAATCTGTGTGATGATTACCATGTAATGAGCAATTTAAAATATAATCCCATTCTCTTCGATGAGCAAAAAAACATTTTTCATCTGTAGCATTTTAAATAGAAAATAAAAATGCCTGAGAACTTCTGAGAATAATAAAATTCATTCACATGATGATAAATATCCGAAATAAATCCTGAGTCTCCTTGTTTTCATTCTTAAATTGTTTTAAAGTATTCTTATTGTTATAGTTTGTAGTTGATGTGTTTTGTTTTGACATTTTTAAGTATAATAAAATATATATATTTTATGTATATAAAAAGAGGATAAAACATACACAAACCCCATGTACACATATGAGATTTCAAATTTTCAAAAGTTGTTTTTACCACAGATTCAGGCCCGTAGCCAGGATTTGCCAAGGGGGTTCACTAAAAATTCCTGGGGGTTCACTTTTGACAACCTTGGTCCAAAAGTAGCCCAAATCACTGGAAAATGGTAAAAACTGCATGATTTTGTAAGAATTTTTGACCATGGGGGGCCTGAGATTTAACAATAATTTGCCAATATTGAGCTGTAACTTCATTGACTTTTAACTGACTTATTATATTTAAAATAACATTGAAAAGGGAATTTACAAAATGGCCCCAATTTTTTGTACAAAAATTCACTTGCTTGAACTTAAATATTGGATAAAACTTGTTACAGCTTAATAAACTTATATTGCTCTTCACATGTAGGAAAGATACAGTTTTTTCATAATCAGGCCTAATTCAAATAGTAAGGATAGTTGGGAGTTTGTTTTCCTTATGACTGGTGTAGTCTTTAATATTTTCCTTTTCTCGTTGTGTTCTGTTTTTGGTCCTTTCTCTTGGCACATATATAAACAATACCCTATTCTCTGGAATTAGCGCCTGAGGCAAATTACAAAATTGAAAGTACATCCTTCAGACCAATCTAATAAGCGCCTATATATGAGAGAAGTCAAAAATCCCTGGGAATTTCATGCATGGCAATTTTTCCTGCCAAGAATGCCTTATTTTCAACATCTAAACGAAGTAACAGCATAATTTCACAATAATGATATGTAATGATAAGATAATGGTGAGATTACGGATCGCTAAAATTAAGCAAGGATCTTGCAAGAATCAATGTTGATAGCCTTGCCCAAGTCGGTATTTTTTTACTTGTACAATCCAATACATCTCCACTGATATTATTCTAAGTTATTCAGCTGTTTTGAGATTTTGAGATTTCCATAATACCTACGCTGTCTGGGTATCGCGAAACCTTATTGATTGACAAGATCGCATGGACACGATGTGTGACTTCAGGCTGATTGACCAATCAAAACGTTATCAGATTGACCTGCATAAACAAAGCAAACTTGTCTACGACTTGAAATTCAATGATCTGACCGAGTGTTTATTTAGAGATTCAATATATTATGTAATTAAATGTTATTTTTTTATATTATTATATCTTACATTGGAATGTAAGCAGTCGTTAATATAAATTAAATCATGCGATTCAATGTTGATTTTAAACTGAATTCGCGGTGAAAATGAACGAAGACCTCCGGCATCCACTAAACTCTGATTGATATTTATCTGATAAAATATTTGTATTTTCATGATGAATTGTGCTAGATTCGTTCGTGAAAAGTCCCGGTGAAAAGTGTACTTGTTTTTGACATTGCATAATAATGAGCTAACGTGTCAGGGCTGTCATTGATTGGTCCAATTTTACCGACATAAAAATTGGGTCGGTAAAGCAAGTGGCTTTCTCTTGGGTACAAGGCGGTCATAAGGCTACAATAATGACAGTGACTGGAGAAATCTTCAACAGAGCCCCTCGAATTGAAGGAATTGTTTTCCCCCTATTATCTTCCATATTTCAACTGAGATTGTTGGATATAGATCTAAATACCTTATCTTATCTGTTAAACACAAACTATCTTGGTCAAATGCCGATCAAAGTTTTTAAAATAAAACTTAAACATTTCTTACTTTTATTATGGACTATTTTGAGATAATATTAGTTAAGTATGATGTGGGATTCACCCACTGATAGATATTTATCGGGAGGATGCATCGAATTACAAAATGCATCACATTTACAGCAGTTTAGTGTTAGAACTCTATTATCGCCCGCTTTTTTTCGGATATTCGCTAATACTTGGTCATTCCTCAGTATTTCTTGAACTTTGTGAAGAAGTATGGGCGCTTATTAGGGGATGGGCACTAATTACAGAGAATACTGTATATCTTTGTATTTAACCTTTTCTTGTATATGTGTATATTTGATAGGCTATGGTTTGCAACTAAAATGATTTGCTCAAAAAATCTTTTTGATATACAAATTGAAGTATTTAGTTTGAATGTAAAAACTAAGTGAGCTAAAGATGAACAAAAATACCCAAGTACTTTCAAATATAGATTTACTCCTTTTATTAGCCTGTTTACTGTTCACAAAATTCATAATAACAATCTAGATATAATTTGTGTTTTTCTTTACGGAGAGCCATATTTCGAAGATATGTTGTATAGCGTCCAAACTCTTTGCAGTCATCACAGGTTTTCACTTCAGGTTTATCCTTTCCCCATCTATCTTCAAAATCTTTCTCAATCTTTTCAATAGAGTCTGCAGCATTTAGTTCTGCAGATACCACACTTAATACAACCAACAACACAAACAAAGAAGCACACATCTTGTTCATCTGGAAAATAATAGCACATATTAAACATCTGTAATACAATAGTACACATAGTACAACCAACAACACAAACATAGAAGCACAAATCTTCTTCATCTGTAAAAGAATAGCACATATTATACCATCTTTTGTTTAAAAATCTAATCTTTGATAACTCAAATACCATTCTCTAGATGACCACTCATTGAAAAATGGCTGACATTTGTTCAAAAAATGTAACCTTTGATAACTCAAATACTAGTTGACAGATTTGGTTCAAATTGTACATGCTGATGCTTAGGGACAAATAAAAGGAGCTTTGCTCAAGAAGAGATTTTCAAGATTGCCACTGAATTTCAAAATGTGCTGTTTCCTGGTTTTGCGAGAGCCAAAAATTATGATCTCCATATTTTTGTGGACATTTCATCTTCTGTGTTTTGTCCAGTACTTTCTAACATGAAAAAACATATTTTGAAATTTCGAAGAAATGTATCTTTAATAGATGAATATGAAAACGAATTACAGCAATCAAACAACAGGATATTAGAAGGTCATTGATAAGTTATGGACTGGTACATTTTGATGTGTTTCTGGCCTTGTTTACATGATAAATAAATTGTCAGTTTGGGCTATCAGATTTATTTCATTAAATGAAAATGAAAAAAGTGTACCAAAATAGAACTGAAAAATACATTCATACCAAACTTTATGCAAAAGTAAGTTTCCAAAAGCGATCTGTGTATTATGTGCATTTACATCATAGAATTTTGATTCTCTAATTACTAGATGAGCAAACTATTGTGTTTGCAGAAGGACATTTGCATCAAAGTCTACTTGTGGTTCAAGTTGGAGACTGGGCCCCTTTATTTATAAATGCGTGTATCAAATTATCAATAATACCCTTACCTTTATGTAGTTTGAAATGGTGAGAAAACTCAAGTTTCAGAGCCAGAGTTTCGAGAAGACAGTGGAATTAAATTCCTCAGGGACACCCTCATTTATACTCCTCCAAGATTATGTTGAGTTTTCCCCACTATTATTAATTGGAGTTCAACAAAGCACATTTATGAAGTGATTTGTTTGACTAATGGATCTTAGACAGGATTATAGTAAATGATATATTGTGATTGGAATTTTAATTACTCATTGTTCATTAGATTTTTAATATCAATGTGGGAATTGCAGAAATGTTGTCAGTAATTTTATTCAATTACAATTAATCAGTGTAATTGTTTGATGAAAATTCCTGGCGAACAAGTGCTCTTCCTTTTGCATGCAGGCATGTGCATGTTGTCTTAAATGCTTGTTATTGACCACACTTGGGATTGTTGTGTAGATTAATGAATCAACAATATCAGCTTATTCAGTTCAGTATCTACACGTACATGTAGTTAACGGGCTTTGAAAAAATTTAAAATAACCAATTTGGAATTTGTTTCATGGATTTTGCCAAAAGCGGACATCACCGCTTGTTATTTTCATCATTCATCTTGAGTGAATTCATAAATATATGTTTTGTTTGGTCAGATTTCCTACTCTTTGGCTGATTTTCTACCTTTCTAATTCTATTTTCATCTTTTGATGTGGATGTGTTATATGATAGGATGCTTGGTAACTGAAATGATTTCCTCAAATCATATGTTTAGGAATACAGCTTGGATTACTTATATTATTAGCTTATGTAATATGAAGTACAGTAAACATTCATATATACTTTACAGATGTATTTATTAAATATTAATCTGTTTTACAAAATTTGTTGTAACAGTTATTATAGAAAGGTTGTTTTTCTTTGCGATATGTCATATTTCGAAGATATGTTGTATCCCATCCAAAATCTTTGCATTCATCACAGTCTTTCACTTCAGGTGCATCCGTTCCCCAGTTTGTTTCAAAATCGTTCTCAATCTTTTCGTTAGAGTCTGCAGCATTTAGTTCCACTGATGCCACACATGATACAAGCATCAACACAAACATAGAAGCATACATCTTGTTCATCTGTAAAAGAATAGCAGATATTATGAATCTGTTATACAATAGTACACATTGTACAACCAACAACACATACATAGAAGTTTACATCTTGTTCATCTGGAAAAGAATAGAACATATTGTACATCTGTAATACAATAGTACACATTGTGCAACCAACAACACAAACATAAAAGCACACATTTTGTTCATTTGAAAAAGAATAGCACATATTATACATCTGTAATACAATAGTACACATTGTACAACCAACAACACAAACATAGAAGCACACATTTTGTTCATTTGAAAAAGAATAGCACATATTATACATCTGTAATACAGAAGTACACATTGTACAACCAACAGCACAAACATAGAAGCACACATCTTATTCATCTGAAAAAGAATAGTACATATTATACATCTGTAATACAATAGTACACATTGTACAACCAACAACACAAACATAGAACCACACATCTTGTTCATCTGAAAAAGAATAGCACATATTATACATCTGTTATACAATAGTACACATTGTACAACCAACAACACAAACATAGAAGCACACATCTTGTTCATCTGTAAAATAATAGCACATATTATACATCTGTAATACAATAGTACACATTGTACAACCAACAACACAAACATAGAATCACACATCTTGTTCATCTGGAAAAGAATAGCACATATTATACATCTGTAATACAATAGTACACATTGTACAACCAACAACACAAACATAGAAGCACACATCTTGTTCATCTGTAAAATAATAGCACATATTGTACATCTGTAATACAATACTACACATTGTACAACCAACAACACAAACATAGAAGCACACATCTTGTTCATCTGTAAAAGAATAGCACATATTATACATCTGTAATACAGAAGTACACATTGTACAACCAACAGCACAAACATAGAAGCACACATCTTGTTCATCTGGACAAGAATAGCACACATATAATACATCTGTAATACAATAGTACACATTGTGCAACCAACAACACAAACATAGAAGCACACATTTTGTTCATCTGCAATAGAATACGACATATTGTTCATCTGTAATAAAATAGCACATATTATACACCGCTAAATACCAGATGAATGATCATTTCAAATTCAGGTTTTTGCAGAAAATAAAGTTTGTATAGAAGAAGCCTATTGATGGCTCAAATGCCGTGTTCTGAATTTTTTATCAGAGTTGGAAATTTGGGTATCATTCTTAAATTCTACTGCTGGATGAGGGATTAACCTAATATTTATAGTATTATTCATATTTAAATTCCCTTCATATTTGAATATGTTTGCCAGAGAATAGTAGGTTAAACTGTCAGCTGGCAGTTGAATTCACAAATGCTACTTTAGTTCCTTTTATATATATGTGTGTATCAAATTATCAAGAATAGCCTCTTACCTTTGTGTACGGTGAGATTATGTACTACCTATCTATGTTGTTTTAGTGATGAGAATTCCTTAACTTCAGACCCGACCTCTTGACAATGTAATTAAGTCTCTCATGGACAACCTCATTTATACTCCTCCAAGATTACGTTGAGTTTTCAACAAAGATCACCGTGGATCTATCTTATTTACTTAAATTATGAACAATTAACTCATCTATTGTTAATCAAATTTTACAAAGCACACTTATGAAGTAATATAAATAATTGAACTAATACAGGATTATGGTAAACGAGATATTGGAATTGGAATTTTAATTACTCTTTCTTATTAGATTTTAAAGAGCAATGTGAGAATTGCAGAAATGTAATGCTAGTTAATTTTCTTGAAATTACAATTAATAAGTATTAGATGAAATTCCCTGGGAGACAGTAACAGAAATAGTCTGGGAGCAAAAGTCCAAATAAGAGGTTCCGTGTCCTTTTTAGAGGCGAGCTAAGCGACATACATTTTTATGAACTATACGTGATACTTACCAAGAAAAATGATGTTGGCAATTCTGGATCCGCGACGGCGTTGCTATGGTAACCAAGTGAATAAGCCATGCCCACTTTTAGGGGCTATTTTCAGTGTTTGGCCCCTATCTCCTTCATTATTGCTCAGATTTCGATGAAATTCACACCAAATGGAAGGTAATAGATAATGCAATCAAAATATATTAAGTTGGCAATTCTGAATCCGCGGCAGCGTCACCATGGTAACACAGTAAATATGCCACACCCACTTTTAGGGGCTCTTTTCGGTGTTTGGCCCATATCTTCGTCATTGTTGCTCAGTTTTAAATGAAACTTGTACCAAATGAAAGGTTATAGATAAAGCAATCATATATTTTATAAAATATGCAATTAGGGTGATTTGCAACTTAATTATGATGTCATAACTGTTTGTTCTTGCATATTCTATTTTAATCATGATGTATAACTCTGTGAAATTATTGTCTTTAAAATGGTCAGTAATGTTTTCAACTAGTTTATTTCTTTTAGTTGAGTTCATTCCATTCATACATTTATGGTCATAGAAAAATTGAATAAATGTAATGAAACATGTATTATTCAAATAATTTTTATGTTCAATTCACACTGTTGCTATGGTAACATCATGTAGCAAAACTGTCCGCTGTAAACAATAATTCTTTAGAAAATGTTACATTTTGACCATTTCACTGACATGTATTCTTTTTAAAATTTGATGACAAAATAATCTAATAACTATAGGAAATTATTTAATTTGGATTGTGTTATATTATTATGTCATAAGGGCAATCATTAATCAGGGGTGCGGCCAGATTTCAGTCGGGGGGGGGGGGGGCGATCGTGGCATAAGCAACCCAAATATGTTTTCAAGATGAATTTTACAGACGTTGATGCAACTTCCTTCAAAATTGAGCTAGAAGCTTCAAGTCAAAAGCATTTTAACCCAATAATGACAACAGATTGAATGCATTAGTATTTTTAAAATAATTTTTATGTTTTTCTAACCTGGGTAGCATAACTAAGAAACAATTAGTTTTGTTCTAGAGGCATCCCAAATACAGGACATAGACACAAGTGCCCATGATAACA